TCTGTTCTGATGACATGTGTTTCCATCTAACACACAATACCTAGAATTTGGAGAATGCTGCAAGACAGCTTTAGGGGGCAGCTACTACTTATTTATTGCCTGTGAAAATTGGAGGGAAAAACTTTGAATTGGAAGAAAGAAGAACACCAAAAGAGAAAGCGAGTGAAAGGAATTCCATCCTAGTGGGAATGATTTTGTGTATTGTATTCTTTAAGGGTAAGTGTGTAGAAATCCAGAAAGCACTGTTGAGTTTTTGCCAAACTTACATAGGTGGAACAATAGAATTGTCAATTATTATTAAAAATGATTTGATGGTCCTCTCACTGTATCACCAAGGATGCTAATGCTATGCATGCTAATGCTATGCATGTTTAAATCTTGAAATATTGTGACAACATAAAAGAAATGAACTTTGGGGAAAATGCTGTGGGGTTAAACCTCTTCAGACTTAGTGTTGTTATAGTCTCAACTATATGCTCCTACAGAGCAGTGTTTCTCTCATTATATCAAGTGTCCTTATAAATTGTTTATTTCATTATTGATCTTTCTTGGTAAGTCATAAGTTTTGTGAGAACACATGGTCTATTATGCTCCTGTATTCCTCCCAGCATTTAACACTGTGCCTGGCATATGTGGGTCCTTTATAAATCTGTTAAGTTCTCAGAGGAAGGAAATAGAGACATTCAATGATTATAGTAAACACTTGCTTAGAAGTCTCATTCAATCAACTCTAAGGTACTTGCCTATGTGTAGATTGTTTCCTCTCTTTGTGTTGTATGTATGCAGTGCATGTATGCACTGCTTGGACCTCAAACTGTCCTTTTTGTAGGCTAGCAATTTTTTGTTGCATGTGTGCACCAAGGAGATAAAAATGAACGTTTATATTAGTGGAGGTTAGCTATAATTCAGAAAATTGAGGTTTTTCTTGCATAAAATATACACACAACAAAATATAAAGATGTCTTGGTATCTGTATCAGTTACCTATACTTCTGCTGAGCCCTTTTAAGGAGACACTTTAGTGTTGACTGTAAGTTGGATGAATACCAGGGAGAAAGAACTGAGCTGCCGTTTGGGTGTGTGTGTGTGTGGGGGGGGGTTGGTACAGGGAAGATACCAATTCATACTGGAAAGACTTTTTTCTTCAAATCATTCTGCCAATGCTCAGAAATCCTGGTTTAGTTTCAGAAGCCAGGTATCTGCCTGGATGAGGCTCAAGGAAGAGTTCTGGAAAATAGCCAGGACTTCTAATATTAAGGGATTTCAAAACCAGCAAGGCCAACCTCCGGTCAATTCACCACTTCATAAAGAGCCAAAATAGAGCTACTCTAGAGTAGATGTAACGTTATCCAGCTTGCTTACACAAGCCAGCACTTGTGCTGCTGGGTTCTACACCAGGCTTGAGCTACAGAGAATCGTAATTAAGTGGTGTGGGCCCAAGAACATCTGTTGCTATTGCAAAGTCTTCATGAGCAATTCTCACACAAAAAGAAGCAGTTTTTACAAATGGTGCAGCTGCATGAGCAGGATAGAGGAAGGGGTGGGATGGGTGAAGGGCTTTTGTGTGGTGTAAAGATGAGGCATTCTTCTGAAAAGTCCCATAATCCTTGCTAACTTCTCCCTGTTGGTAGAATGAGGGAAAGGATGCAGGTTGCTTTTTTGGGTTCACCTAAGATGATGAAATAAGTGTGTGCTTTGATTTCTGCTTTCAGTAAATGGGTATGTCCTCCATTTTTTTGTGCAGTTCTGGTTTGGAATAAGTAAGCTGCATTTGCAGCATGTGTAGATTCTCCCCACCCCCAACACATACCCCTTTCAGCATAACAGATGGTAAATTCTGTGCCTGCCAGTTCTAGCATAATGTAGTTGCAGAAAATAGAAAGCAAAGCAACATGAAGACCCCTGATAGAACACAGCTGGGATGGGAGACAGCTTGTGAATCCACTGATGATAACTATAGGGTTAGTGTGAACACATATAGCTGGATCATAGAATGGGATTACCTGTCTGTTGTAATAAAACTGATATTAAGACCCCTTTTTTTTTTTTTTGAGTCAGGGTCTCATCATCTTGGCTGGAGTGCAGAGGCACAATCATGGCTCATCACATCCTCGGCCTCCTGGCTCAGAGTGATCCTTCCAAGTCTTTGGTAGCTGGAACAGGTGTGCGTCACCATGCCCAGCTAATTTTTTTGGATTTTTGTTGTTGTTGTTAAGACAAGATCTCTCTGTGTTATCTACCTGGACATTAAAAGCAGAGAGCTGGACATAAAGTCTTAGTTCAGGGTGCCTGGTACAAGCCTACCTAAAATTCTCATGTGTTGCTAATGACCAGTAAATGGTAGCCACATTGGTTGGTTTGTGTGTGATGTCAAATGGTGACCTTTTTCAGATCTGATGAGATATAGTGTCATTCCTGTTTAATACTCTTATCATGCAATCTCAGTAAAAACTCTGGCTATTTGATTGAAGTAAGAATTGCATAAACCTGTAATTCCTTCAGGTGGAATTTTGAGAGCTACATAGAGGGACCCAAGTGACATTAAATCAGGAGCAACACTCTCAAGCACCAGTTCTTAGATGAAGACAGTTTTTCACTGAGCATCTCACTTTTCAGAAATGTCGGATTAATAAACATGAAATTAATTTGAAAATAAAATACCAGTTATGTTTCATTTGGCAATCATAACTCAGGAGTTTGAGTCTAGTCAGCAACTAGATTTCTTTTTGTGCTTTATGCTATACTGGAAGTGGGTTGGGCAGACTGGCAGGGGTAGTGGGGAAATCCAAAACAAACAGAAGCCAATGTTAAACATAAAAGGAACATTCCTGAAACAGCTGGCCAGCAGTCTCCAAGAATTAAGTGTTGTCCTATCTGGTACAGTCCACTTGGGTTGGGAAGGGCCTAAGAAAAGCCTACAATGAGAATCCAGAACTCTAATGTTTATAATTTTATATGCCAATAAATGATACATGTAGTTTACCTGTTAAGTTAGAACTAGAAACTATATTAGACATTATTATTATTCTATACAGGATGAATTTCCACAGGGAAACCTTAATGAAATAAATGCTTCTCCTTTAGGAAATGATCTTTGGTCCAGCCTAACTTATTTTTAGGAGGGTTAAGTCAGGATTTAGTAATCAGCTCTGCTAATTTAGCACTGTGTGCTGGCTTCATGCTCTTTTGCTAGAATGGATTTACCCATATGAAGAGGTTTGTTTTTTTTTTTTTTAACATTTTAGTGGTTCTTTAGAGACTAAAGAGGCAAACTAAACTGCTGGCTTCTTACTCTTTTATGTTTAAAATATCTTAAAAGGACAGAAAAGGGCAGAGAATAATATACCAAGTACCTACCACACAGAACTGTTATTTCTTTTGAAATTCAAAAATAAATGCAGCAGATCTAAGTGAAGATCTCCTGTATCACTCATCCCTGGTCCCATTCCCTTCCCTATCACCTAACAGACAACTACTTTCGTAAATTTTGCATATATCTTTTCATTTCATGTTGTATATTTTTGTGTATACCAGATGTATCATGAAACATATATATATATATATATTTTGTATGCTTACAATATTATTTGATACATATTCTGAACTCCTTTTATTCAACATGATTTTTGACATGTTGATTCATACAGCTTTAGTTCATCCTTTTTCACTGGTCTATAGTATATTATATGAATATTCCATGACTTATTATTAAAAATGCTGAACATTTTTATACAGATCATGTACACACTACTAGAAATTCTCTGGGTATATACACCTAGAAATAGAATTGTTGAGTCCTAGAGAATGTACGTTTTCAGTTTTGATAGTTTATTTCCAAAATAGTGATACCAATTTATATATCCACTAACAGTTTATGAGAGTTTCGAGTTCCTGGTATCAGAGCTTTTCAGTTGTTGCCAGTCTGATAAGTACGAATATCTCATTGTTTTGATCTGGGTATTTCAAATTACCAGTGGTATCATAATTTTTTAGCCATTAAAATTGAAATTAAAAAGATCCAAAGGGATGAAATCCGAATGTATTTATCTGGCAAGTTAGGAATCAAATATAATTTCAAGTTATGCTTTATTCATTTGGCACTCTTAGAGTAAGATATTTCCAGGAAATCAAATCTTAAAATATTACTCTAATAGCTAAAAAACATTTCTTGAAGTTTGAGGTACTTTTGATGAAAATCTGTCTACAGTTTGTTATACTTTCCTGCTTTATGAAATTCAGGCTAAATTTAATTCAGTTCTCAGAGGGAACATTAGAATTTTTTAAAACTCACTAATGCCTTCAGGTTCTATTGAAATATGAGATGTCTGTTTATATACCAGATAGTCTAAAAGGTCCTCCTCATACTTTAATAGTTGTTTTTCTCTTACAGTCTTGCCTCCTGAAGTATTTTCAGTGAGTTTTCCCACCTTTTAAAACTAAAAAATCAGCTTATGTAAAGAATACATGCTTATTGTAGAATATTTTATCTTTTCTCCTTTTAATTTGCTATCTTTCTCTATTCAGAATTCTGAAGAATATACGGATCACTTTTTCTTGGATGAGATAGTGTATGGAGTGTGGTCACATTTTGCCTTCATGTAGTAGTCCTTCCATTCCCCTCTGAGTGTACACCAGTGTTCACGTTGAAACTGTTGGGAATCAGACCTGCAGGGTGTTCCTTGCATTAGCCAACATAAAAAGAGACACAAACAGTCTCTTAAAGAATGAATACATTTTAACTCAACAATGTTTAAATTGCTGTGTTACTGGGGAGATAATCAGCCATAAGATTACTCATATCTTAGAAGGTCTAAGAAAATTGGCCAGATACAAATGGCACAAACACCATGCTGGTTGGGCAGTATAAATACCATGTGACCATTGATAATCTTCAGAGGTTTTAAGTTTTTTGTTTTTGGAAAATTGTGGTTGTTCCTAAGTTTGTTATTGCCTTAAAATTCGTTAATACAAGTTTAACTTTTAAAAAAATTCTCATTTCAGTGTGACAGAATTAGGCAAGAACGAGATGAAGCTGTTAAAAAACTGGAGGAATTTCAGAAAAGTACGTAACCATTTCAGTGGAATTATTATAACACATATAACTTTGGGGATTATGTGAGTAACAGATACCCTGTTTAGTTGCTTATGCCCTTGTCTTAAAACCAAGAAAGCAAGAATTGTCTTCCCATTTGCCCCCCAAATGCCTAGATATTACTATAAGTTTTAAAGAAATGGAATAAGCATTATTTTTTTGTGAGGATGTTATAAAAGTTTGTACTTGCTATAAAAAATTGCTATGCAGAAAATTTACAGTAAAGGGGAATAAAAATGACTTGTTATCTTGACTCCTTGAGAAAAAACAGTGCTAATATTCTATAGTCTATCCTTCTTGGTCTTTTATTTGTATAATATATGTATCTACAAAAATGTGGTCATGTTTTATTATTTTTCTTTTGTTTTCCTATTTCATTTTTTTCCTTCACAGCAATCATGTTTTGTACTCAGTTTTGCAGCCTGCTTTTTTCAGTAAGCAATATTGTGTTCATTTTTGCATATCAGTAGAGACATACATCAGTTTTAATTGTTGTCCTTAACATTCCATTATATGATAGTACCATAATTTATTTAAATATTCCCTCACTGATAGATTATTACTGATTTTTAATTGTTACAAATAATGCCATGGCAAGTATTCTCATATATATATCTTTATATTGATCTTGAGTAGTTCTTGAGGTTAATTCATAGGAAATGAATTATACTAGAGATCTACTATAAAGAATGGTGCCTATAGCTAACAATGTATGAGTATACTTAAATTTTACTAAGAGAGTAGATCTTTTGTGAAGTGTTCTTACTACAAAAAAAAAAAAGTGAATAAAGAGGGCAGAAGGAAACTTTGGAAGGTGATGGATATGCTATGGACTTGATAGTGGTGATGGTTTCATAGGTGTATACTTATCCTCCAGACTCATCTAGTTGTATACATTGAATATGTACAGCTTTTTACATACCACTTATTCCTCAACAAAGTGGTTTAAAAACAGTAAAAAGGAAATATGGGTTTATAGACATTTTTAAGAGTTTGAATGTTATGCCCTCTTACCAAGGAAAGTTATATTCTCACAAAAGCTATAACAATCTACTAAATTTTTGCTATGTTTTCTTCATGTGATGTAAATCTATTATTACTTTATCCCCTAAGATAGAACATGGCTGATCGGGCTCAGAAAGATCAGATGGAAATATATCATGAGCAAAAGCGTCAGACCATAGCAGGGAAAGTGACTCCCGCCCTTGGAAGCAAGGCCTTTCTCCATCATTCTGAAGTTACCATATCAGTCAGGCTATTTGATTATATTGTAAAGTGTTGACTTGGTAGCTACATTTTATTCTTATTGAAGATTTTAAAAGTCATAAAAATGCAGCATGATAGTTGAATTCCAATAGCAAGTTCATTTCAGCATTTGACTATAACAAAGAAAATCTAAGGAGAACCTTGTTGATATTACCTATCTTTGGAGGCCAGTATGCTATGATAGAATGTATGAATTGCAGAATTGAGAATGTATGAATTGCAGTCACAAGGGACTTTGTCCTTCTCTAATGCAGAATTATACAATGTGCTTATGCCAAGTGACATCTGAAAGAGTTAGACTACTGGCATTGTTATCAAGTAATGTGCTTGAATTATTGATAGTAGATTAGCATACTATGTGCAGCAGGAATAGTTCAAGTTTCTTATGGTTGGACTTAATAAAATGTTTTGTTCCAGGTAGATAGTAGGGTTTTGCTTCCTGCATTATGCAAAAATGGTAGCAATTTTCCATAACACCAACCTTTAGAGTGGCATGTAAATTGTACTCTCATCTACCATTTCTCTTTTCATTTTCTTTATCTCTTCCTCTAGAGACATTTGATCATTTAAAAAATTTATATTTTTCCTGATAAACCTGAAAGGTTTACTTGAAAGTGTAGTACAACAATCACTGTTGTGTTCATTTAGTTTTTAAGTGTGCTTGATTAATTTAATGTTTGGATGGCAGGAAAACAGAATGCTAACTTTTCACCCATTTCTCAAAAGAAGAGAAAATGGAGACTAAGAAAGTTTTCTATATTTGTTAAAAAGTTATGTCTGAGATAAATGATTCATGGCTTTTGAACAGAGGGTAGAATTTCGGATGTGGAAGGGAATGAAGCCATATTTTATCATCAGTGAAGAGCACCATTTGGTTTTAATTCATATAGCCTTGAGCAAGTTTCTACATTAGCAAAATTGGGATAAAATGACCCAGCTTCATAGGCTGTCTGAGGATAAAGTGAGATAATCTATATAAACAAAGTACTTAGTACCTGGCATATAGAAAGTGCTCAATAAATGTTAGTTGCTGCTACCACATCTCATCTACAAAGCCTTCTAGTGCATGACTGCCCTTCAGGATTAGGAGTTCATATCATTTACTTTTAGGAAGTTAGTTCCTGGATACCACTCTCCCCGTTGGGATAGCTATAGGGAAAGTTTCCGTTGAAACCTAAAATCCCTGTGATGTTTACCTACTAGGCCCAGCTCTTGAAGTGTATGAAGAGGAACTGTATAAGGCTCAGGAAAAGCTTTGGTAGCAATAGGGCTCTGTTCTTCCTAGCTTAGCATGCTTCTCCCAGTGTAAATATTTTTTTGTCCATATTTTCATGCCACTCATGACTCTCTACCAGCTTTTTCTGAACTTTCCTCCTAGTCTTTCTACACTACACAAAGAACACCACCACATAGCAAAGCCAAGTTCCCTAGAAAGCTTCCTGTGAAAGAAGTAACCAAAGTCTTTTTATGTCTTGTAGGCCACAACATTAGATCTTTTACCTTAGATCTTTTTGTTTTAGGGCACATCAGTTTTCCTGTATATGTGTCAACTTTCATGGCTGTTTACTTACCACATGAAAACCTTTAAAAATATTCTGATATTGGAGAAGAATTTGTGATATATTTACCATGTGATATTCTGCATCTAAAATGAGTATATACTATACAAGGTGACTCCCTGTATAATGAATTAGAAAGGACCATAGAAAATGGAGTCGCCTAGAAATAGGTTTATCTGGGCTTTACCAGTTAGAACTCTGGGATTGGAATATGTTACTTAACTTCTCTGAGCCTCAGTGTTCTCAGATATAAAATTGCTATGATAATTCCTACTTTATAGGATTGTTGTGAGGATTCATGAGGAAACACAAGTAAAGGGTTTTGCGTGAGGGTGGACACATAGTCAAACTCAATAAATAGGGGTGGTAATAGTTTCCTAAGCCATTCCATATTACAGAGAACATTATTGTAAAAGAGTATTCACTGATGAACTCAGACCTGATATCTTTTTTCAGTCCTTCAAACAAACATAAACATGAATACCTACTTTGTACTTAGCATTGTGCTAGTTGCAAGAGAATCAGACATACACAAAACAAGATCCTTGCTCTAATGCTCATAGTTAATAGAAGACAAAATCAAGTAGGAGAAAAAAACCAGTTACCCTACACTGTGATATGTACTTAAGATGGCAAGTATGTAAGAGTGTTGTTATGTCATAGATGAAGAGAGACACACTTTGCTAATTCAACTAGGCTGATAGGAACACTAGTTGATGTACTTGTAGGCCATTCTTCTGAGTTCTGAGGGTCATTAATTTTTTAATGAAAAATTTCAGTTACACAATAGTGAGAACATAATGAACTCCCACGTTCCAGTTATCCTGCTTCACTAGTGATCAGCTCACAGTCTTCCTTCATCTATATACCCACGCACTGCCTTGAATTGTAATGAAACGAACTCCAGCCATCATGTCATTTTAATATTTATTGACTGTAAGTATTTCAGTATGTATTTCTAAAAGATTAGGGTTCTTTTTAAAGATATAATGTAACTGCAGTATTAGGGACACCTTATTAAAAGTTTATCTTTTTTAAACCTCATATTATCCAAATATACAAATGTTATAGGTGTAGTGGTCATAGATTGTAGATATTATGAGACAAGCTCAAATTAAGGACCATAAGGCAAGTCATTCAATGAACAGTAAAAGAATAAAACAACTTTTATTCTTTGAAAGGTGAAAATTATATATAAAACAATATCTGTTTTGCATCATGAGAACTGACTTTTGGCTTTGGAAATAGGGTCATGCTTTTTAAAGATATAAATACCCTTTGAAATATTCTTTCCTTATGAACCTAGAAAGCTAATAAGTAGGTTTCTATGCTACCAATTTTGCACTGGAAGAATTTTTTTAAATAAAAATAAAAGCTCGATTTAAAAATTTCTACTGTTCTCCCTTTGAGAAGCAAGAACCCCACCTGATGGAGTATACCATATCAGAATTGGAGAAAATGTATGTGTATTACCCAGCTAAGTTATCAAGTTAAATCACAGGACAGCTTTTTATAAAATATTTAGGAAATAAGTGCGTGAGTGTGTGTGTGTGAGAGTGTGTGTGTATGTGTGTGCGTGTGTTTCCATTTGCTAGGCCTAAACCTTACTACTGCAGAATGATTTTTCTTACTCTTTCATGAGCAAGAATGTTAGTGAATAAAAAGTCAGATTCCTATGAAAAATGCAGAGTGTTTATGTTTTTGTTATGATAGTGGAAATACCAGATTGTGGCAGAAGATGTCAAGTAGTTAAGGCTAAAAATTCAAAGTAATATTTGATGTTGTAAAAATTGTATAGGTTTCTTTTCTCTTTCCTTCACATTTTTGAAGAACCTACCTTGTAAACACAGTGATAAAATGCCAGGAATATTAGGATTTTAAGGAAATAATAGAGCCTATTATTTAAACTACAATATAAAAGGCAATTATATTGATGAAGAGCTACATGGGCTTTGTGTGTGTGAATAAACTTGGCCTGTGTTCAGCTTCTATTTGTTCTTCTGGCATAAACACATATTGTGTGTGATTCCAGTTTAATGGGGACCCGTTTGTATGCCAAGCAGCTGCATTTTAGGACCTATTGCGTGATTTCATAGCTCTCTGAAAATTGGTTCTATTCAGAACAAGAGATAGAAGAGAAGAAGGGGGGCAGTGTGGAAGGGTGGGGGTAGCTTCAACACACAATCATTTCTTTTCAATTGGAGCCAGAAAGGTTGATGACAACATGACCATTGTGTTGTAATGATAAGACCACTAAGGCATCTGTACCTCTCATCAAGGCTTTCACACAACAGCAGATACAATTTAATTCACTGCTCTGTCAGCAGTGCTGATACCATTATGCCGTCTGTCTCCACAGTTATAATCACTGTCCTCTGAGAAATGCAGTTGAAATGATCTTGAGCAGTCAAAGAAACTCTCAATTAAGGCTGCCACTTCCAATGTGTCAGATTGTGTCTTATGCACTTGGTACAATTTTCACTTCCAATCCTGTTTATTTACAATGTCTACCAGTAATTACGCTTAACGTGTCATTTAGTGAGGGGGGCCCCTGCCAAGCCGATTGTTGGGTGCTGCTGTACCATTGAGTGGGAGTTTCTCGAAGTCAATGCCATCAGCAGCTTTTAGGCCCTGATGGGATGCAGTAGTAATGTTGATAATGCAAGTATCGTGCTCATCAAGTCATAATTAGATGCCACTCAAATGTGCCACTTGTAATAACAGTGTTGATTCATGTTTTTCTCGGTGACTGCAACTACTAATTAGTTAAGTGGTTTTTGGTTGGCCTGCATTTGCTGCAGATTATTATTACCCCTGAAAAAATGTCAAGGTTAGAGATGTTTCTGGCCATTTAGTGCTGCTTTATGAATTTGAATATTAACATAATAAGAACTTTGGACAGACTTAGGAAGTAATACATTTTTTGTATTTAATTTGGAGAGAAATTTTTTCCCCTGAGTTTAATCATAATTGCAGGTTAATTAAGCTTAAATGAAGCAAAAGTAATCTCTCTTTGTGTTATATGAGCCCAGTGCTTTTTGCCTAACTTTGTTGGGTTTCACATTTGGGTGTCCTTTGATTTTTTTTTTTTTTTTTTAAGGCAAACAAATGTCAGTAAGTAACATGTCTACACTTAAGTTTGAGATTCTGATAATTTTTGTTTATCTAGAAATATGGATGGAAGGAATTGATATATTTCTTACTTGATCTTCAAAATGTAATTCAAGTTCCAAGTTACTCTGTACCTTTAAATCTCTATTTACTTGAACTAGCTATCAAAAGATCTAAAAATTGTTATTTTTCAAGCATTGGTAAAATATCAAGTAAAATTTTATTTTTCCTCTAATCCTCCTGTCTATGATGCAAGAAGCAATTTATTAGTTTCTTTTTTCATCACATAGTATATACATCTTATTGTTGTATTTTCTGCCCTGATATGAAATAACAATAACTACTTTGTAGCTAATAAAGACTAATATTGCAATATTTCACTGAGCAGCTGCCACGTTGTTTTTTCAGTCATAAGATCAATTTAAGATTCACTTCTTTGTAAAAGTCTTTATTAATTAATTTTCCTTATTAGATCCTTGTGTTATATCCTGCCACTTCTCTTTATTTATGAAAGATTCTTTTGTTTAAATTGACAGATATGTCTTCAGATATGTATTTAACTACATAGAATATAAACCTGTAAAAAATCTACATAGCTTTCTTAAAATGTGTGCAGTAACAGTGAGGCTTCAAATATTAGCTAAGATTTAATCAGGACAGCTTCTCAAAAACTTTTTCAATGATAGCAAAAGGTCTGGCTAGCTGAAGAATTGAAGTATTCTTAGTCATGGGGCAATGCGTGGGCTTCTGGAATAGCTGACTAATCTTTGTATGCTGAAACTTTTTTTCCTTCATTCCTAGTTTCTCACATGGTTATAGAGGAAGTTAATTTCATGCAGAACCATCTTGAAATAGAGAAGACTTGTCGAGAAAGTGCTGAAGCTTTGGCAACAAAGGTAAGACAGTTCAAATGAAGGAATTTTAACGGAGCTTTTTTATTTCAACCTGCATTTCTAAGCAGTGGCTTCTATTCTTTTTGTTTTTCTTGTTCTCTAACCATTGTCTCCTCCAATGAGGAGGAAAATGTTGTTAAGATCTCAGGAGCCCGGAATATGATTATGTAAATATTCACCTTAATACAAAGCTTATGTAGTTGTTAAAGGATCGTTTGTATGTGTGTATTTCAGCATTTATGCTTTTTGCCTGTGAGAAATGGTCCCAGAGTAGTCTGTTGGGCTGAACTTTCCAAATGTCTGTGCGTTTGGTTAAAATGCTAACCAAGTTTAAAACTAACCTGGTGTGATACAAAAGAGCAATGAATGTTTCATGTTTGAATCAGATGGAAAAGTCAGCCTCAAGCCTTACATTTCAGGTGATTATTTGTGAAAGCAAAGCAAGGGCATGCTAAAGGTGACTTCCAGTGCTCCACTGATTGCTTCTAGCTGATGAATTTACCAAGTGTGTAATTTTCTATATTCTATCTCATCAGAAGTACATTATTATTAAAGAATGTTTTTATCTCTGTCTTATGTATTTTGGGTTGGGTAAATGCATCTGAACCACTTCATCAGAAAATGGATTATAGCAATTTTCAACCAAATTTCATTAGTAATGCTGGTTGTGTTTCTTTTCCCTCCCCTCCGTCACCTACCTCTAAAAATCTCTTTGAATATGACTGAAATCCTACTACCAATAAATAAATAAATAGGTAAATTTATTTAATTTGTATGCATTAGCAGTGTGCTTGCTAGAGGTATTTGCTTAATTGTTTGCATAACGACACTGCATCAGAATTCATAAGATAGAACCTAAGAACATAAATTTGTGTATGTAACTTCTTTCCTGTTATTCGTCTGAAGAAAATGTAGCAATACACTTTGAAGACAATGATAACATGGGTGCTTTCACATCATTTTTACCCTGCTACACATCCCTTGGTTGCTAGTTCACCTGTCCATACTATTGTGTGAATTCTCTTTTCATTTATTTCTTTTTTGGAACAATTAGAGAGATATATATGGAGCCTACTAGCTGCCCCAAGTCTTCTAGTGTCAGAATTCTCTCTGTATTTTGTCTTGTTACTAACAGGTATTACTGTTGCAATAGTATTTCCAAAGTGAGGATGCTGGCTGCCTCTCAGGATTGGCAGAGTTTATGGAAAACAGTGGTTTGGGGGGAAGTATATTCAAGTTTTGTATCTGGTTATGTCATTTTAGGCATATGTGACTTTAGACAAGTTCTGTCCTCTGGGTTGCAGTGTCTCATCTTAAATGACAGGATGGACTAGATTTAGGACTGGAGTTAATCATTCATCTATATTGGCTCCCTTTAAAAAAGAACTTTATCCTCCCTCTTCTTTTATTTAACACATAACTTTGGACAAGATAATCTACCCCCTGAACTGCATTTATCTTGCCCCAAACACCAGGATGAACTGTGCTTGGCTTCTTCATAATACTCCACACCTACTGACTCTAGGGGTGTGGCCCAGGCATGTGTATATGAAAAAGCTTCCAGGTGATTGTTACATTCATCCCTGGTTGTGCCTCTCTGTGTTACCTAATTTCTAAGGTAATTTTTACAATTTAGTCGTAGATCCTAACAATAGGATCTTTAACTTACCCTGTTTGTCACACATTCTTTACGAAGTCTTTTTGAAAATAAACATATAATTTGTTTTTGAAGATTCAACATGAACTCATGGGGTATGGAATAGAAAACCCCACACCGAAAAATGAATTCAATCAAACTCTATAGATGTTTCACATTGAATGTGAACTGTACTATTCCTTTGAATGCAAAATTTGGAAGCTTCGTTATTTGTATAACCAATCAATGACAATAGTATTTTCTGGTTTAATTACTGTTAAATATTTAAAGGCTACATTTTCGGAACAACAAGGTTTCTTATTTTTCTAAATCTTTGCCATCAACTTAATGACAAATGCATGGAATGTTTAATTTTCTATCTTTTTTCTTTGTTTTTTTGATTTGGAGTCTCACTCTGTCGCCCAGACGGGAGTGCAGTGGCCACTCTTGGCCACCGCAGCCTCGACCTGCTGGGCTCCGGCGATCCTTCCTTCTCAGCCGTCCGAGTAGCTGGAACTATAGGCGCGCGCTACCACGCCCGGCTAATTTTTGATTTATTGTAGAGATGAGGTCTCGCCAAGTTGCCAAAGCGGGTCTCGAACCCGCGGGCTCAGGCAACCCACTCACCTCAGCCTTCCAAAGGCTCAGGATTACAGGCTGAGCCACCGAGGCCGGCTTGGAATGTTTAATTTTCATGATGCAGTTTAACCTCATAATTTTCTTAAAAGCAAGTGTGGATACTATGCTTTACCAAAATGTGTAGTTTAAACTGATAAATGTAGACCAATTATTTAAGTCATATGATCAAATGCCATTAAACTTGCTTGTATCTTTAAATATTTATTAAGCTGTGCCCAATATAAAAACTCTATTTAAATTTGAAAATAGTAGTAGGTTCTGTTATGTAGGATTATGTAGGATTATGTAGGATCATTATGTAGGATTATGAAAGATTTATTTTTGCCTTGTGATGTAGAAAGGTTCCAAACAAATAAACAAACAAAACAAATGAACAAAAAAGAAGGATTCTAAACAATAAGTAGCATGTAATCAACTTATAACTTGATTAATAACTTCAGTGGAATTGTTTGGCCAAAATTTGGGATTTAAGAATTCTCAAAAATGTCCATTAGTATGTACCTACTACCTCATGTATATAAATCTTATATATTTCTTTCCAAATATGAAAACAATGTTTCAGGGAAGATTTATGAAATATTTTGATTGACTTTTTTCTTAAGCTAGTGACTTTGTTAAATAGAGTAATTATATTATAGACAGGTTTGTAGCTGGTGGATGTTGGTGCCTGACTTGATAGAGGCATTAAACTCTTTTGAGGACAGAGCTATTAACTATCAGGTTATCGAGTATTATTGTAATGGTGGTCTGGGAAATTATATATTAAACACTAGACGGTAAAATTTAGTATTTTCAAGAGCATCCTTGAGGAAGAAAAAATTGTATAGATGAATACTTCGGTTGAAGAAAACTAGCTGATAAATGATTTCCAAAGAATAATTAGATACATAAACGAAACCTCTTTTCTTACTATTAATAGCTAACACTTACTGAAGTTTTACTATATGGCAGTTACTATATTAAACTGTTACATGTAATATCTCATTTAATTTTCATATTGTGGGATAGAGACTATTTCAGTCCTCAGTTTACTGATGAGAAACTGAAGCACAGAAAGATTGTTAGTTGCAGAGGCAGAGACAACATTTTATTGCAGAGCTGGCTTATATACTAAAACATTGCATTAGTCTGTATCAACAGCTCTCAGTGTTGATGTACATTAGAGTCACCTGGAAAGCTCTGAAAACGTACTGTGCTGGGTTCTACTGCCCAAGGTTTTGGTATGGTATAGGACCGAAGCATTGGGATTTTTAAAAAGCTCTCTGGATATTCTGGTGTACAAAGTTAAAAATCATTAGCTTAAATATTAGGAGACAGAATTATAAATTAAGTCTGAGTTTTTTCACTTTTTTGTTAAATTGGTATTTTCTTCTGACATTCAGAAAAGAGGGGATACTTTAAGAAATGAAAAGAAGAATCCTTGAGTTTCGAATGCCATGTTGTAGCATTTGTGGTTTAAAAAATGCACAATGGTGTTTACCTAAATTTTCTATGTTAAGGAAGAGGTATTGAGAAATTATGGACCTCATCTCTTAACCCTCATCCTCTAATGTAATATGGGGAGGTGGAAGCTGAAACTGTAGACTGGGAGAGGGGATAACAGGCTGTCTCTCATTCTTTGAATAGAGCTCACCAGTCTTTTTCCCAGGCAGAATTCATAGAAGATTTCATAATCATTTCTAAGAGAGTCTTCCTGATTTCCCAGAGATCAGAGAAACCGCTTGCGCTCCAGACCATACCACTTAGCATATATTTAGGTTCCTTGTTTTTGAGGTAAGAATAAGATCTCCCAGATTAAAGTGGGCTGAGCTTTCCCTGTGAAAAACTCAGAGGATTCCTAATTATGATCACAAATGAAAGGGCAAAGCCAGACATTATAGTATTATATTAAATGTCTTATTCTGGCATCTGTTGTACTGTGGAGAAGGATAGTTAGCTTTCTAATGAATTATGTTAATTTATTTCCAATATTAGTTATTAAATTCAGAGCTTGTCACGGCCAGTGGCTCTAGTAAAGAACATGTGTTTGCATTTCTTTTTCCTTTTCTTTTTTTTAAGTTTTAAAACAAAGCTTATTAGAGAAAGAAGAGAGGAAAGAAAGGGAGACATGCCAGAGCTGGCAAGGGCAAACAAAAATCACCTGAGTTTGGTTTTTTTTTTTTGGAGTCAGAGTCTCACTCCGTCACCCAGGCTGGAGTGCAATGGCTTGCTCACGGCCACTCCAGTGTGTTGACCTGCTGGGCTCAGGTGATTCTTCCTCCTCAACCTTCCAAGTAGCCAGAACTACAGGCATGCACCATCATGCCCGGCTAATTTTTTTATTTATTGGAACTGAGATCTCGCCAAGCTGTCCAGGCTGTTCTTGAACCCGTGCTCAGGCAATCCTCTCACTTTGGTTTCCCAAAGTGCTGGGATTACAGGCTTGAGCCGTGTTTGTATTTCTGTAGCTTACATTTTATACTAGGGAAGATATTTATTTGAACACTTTGTGCTTAATAAAAGAAGACCTTTTACTTTTTAGTCTTGGGATGATAAAACACAGGCAAAACCATATTTTCCTTCCGTGGACATTGGACCAAGGTAGTTGATAGTTGAGTGACTAAAGCTGAAAACTTACTCATTTCTATATCAGGGAATAATGCATGCATTAACAAATTAGGATTCCTTCTGTCTTCTATCAATGAAAACTTTTTATAGATAATGGAAGCATATCTTGAACTTTCTTCTGTTGTGTCTTATTAGTACACATCTTGAATTAGTTTAATCAAGAAAAGAAAAAATTAGGAATTTGTTAGAGAGGAATATTGTAGAATTTCATAAAATCCACGAGCCAGAAGCAATTTGAGAATGAACTGGAGTTTGGGACTGAATCCTTGTGGGAAAACATTTCTCCATTGTTTTTCTCTACCTGTCTTTACACATCAGCTTCATTTTTAGTTTTATTGTAGTCTACCTTCCTCAGTTCAGTAGTGGAATGGGATTACCAGTGGTTTATGTACATACAAACACAAGGAAAGAAATCTCTCTGTTCCAGCCTCCAAATTTCTGGAGAAGGAATCTGATTGACCAACCTTGGGTCAAGTGCCTAATCTCTGGGCTAATTAACTGTGGCCAAAATGATGGAATAAAGGGTTGTTCCCATAGAAATGATATGGAAGGATGGAGAAAGTGGCAATGTCCAGAAAATAGGGGATGCTAGGCAAGCAGATATTTAGAAGAGACTCACAGCACAGTATCAAACAGAAAATTTGCTTGACATAAGTTGCCTTAATTAAGACTATTAATGGCTATAAATAAATCAAAATGTTATTAAATCCCTACCGGTGTTTTGTCCTACTTCCCTGTATTCCTCATCCTTTATAACTAGCATTTCCACTTGCTGCTGACTGTAACCCAGGCATCAGGTCTTGCCTAAATAAATGAATTTAATATTAAAAAGTATAAGTAAAACCTTATTTAATGAATCTGCTAATTGTATGTCCTGCTGTGAATGTTAATGAATATGTAAGACAAAAATATACTTAATTTGTCTATTGTTTAAAAATTCAAGATACTCCTTTGGCTGCTGTTAAAATAACTATTTTTATATTTTGTCTTAGCTAAATAAAGAAAATAAAACATTGAAAAGAATTAGCATGTTATACATGGCCAAGCTGGGACCAGATGTAATAACTGAAGAGATAAACATTGATGATGAAGATTCAGCTACAGACACAGAGGGTGCCTCTGAGACTTGCGTCTCAGTACAATGTCAGAAGCAAATCAAAGGTAGAACTCTGTTTTTAATTACTGAGCATATTTTTTACTCCATTTAGAACAGTGCTTCTCAGTCCTGATGGCATGTTAGATTCAAGTGGGAACTTTTAATAGTACTGATGCCTGGGTCCTGCCCTTTTAATTTCTGATTTAATTGGTCCATGGTATAACCTGTTTGAAAATTACCATATAGTATATAACATTTGTGCTTTATGAGTTGCTTTCTTGCTTGAGATTAGATACTTTTGAAAGTGTTGTATCAATGGAAATAATTAAAATATAATCTTAAGAATATGAACTATATGCTAAGGTATTTTGTTAAATGAAAGAAAGAATGGATAAAAATATATTTAGACAACCCTCTCATTTTGTTTGGTTCTCTGTTGGAATGTTTGGGGATGATTCCTCTCCAAATTGCTTAGTCTCTGCTCTCTAAGAACTTCCCGCTGCATTCTGGAAAGGAACTATAAAATATTCAGAAAAAAGTGTGTTGATCAACAAGTAATGCTAGAAGACAAGATCATATGATACAGTTATTAAATGCACATTAATTTCATTCATACACGTTTATGTTAAAGATGTAAGAAAACGGTTTTTGACTCAATAACTATTAGAACATTTTAAGTTATACTAACTAATGTGTATTACATGCCAAAAGTAATACTCACTAGTTTGTTTGACAGATACAATTTCAGTTGGAAATATAAAGAAGGAAGGATATTACAGATGCCATCTTTACCCAACTCTTCAAGCCCTCGACCTAAGACAAAGTAAAATTTATGTTGATAGAGAGGGAGAGGAAATTTAAAGGGTTCCCTTTTGTTCATTATTCTTCCTTCTGTTCTGTCTTGAGCAGCGTGGTCTCATGTTCGTCCTTTTGGATAAGCCAGCCAGTGGAGAATGTGAATTAGAAATAAATCTCTGAGAACTTTATCTGGCTGGGTTCATGGAACAAGTGTGATTTAATTTACAAATAACTATGTAGCAGATTTCTTACCCTGAAAAAAAGTAATAAATTAAAAGCAGTTAAAAACTAAGTGACAAAACAGTGGGCCTGGGTATAAGTTTAAGTAGTTTGTGCTAATCCATGTATGTTTTTAAACATTTGAGTGGTAGAAGTAACTTTAACACCAGAAACTTTTGTACTTAAAGTTGCTAGTATTTTCATGCTAGTAACACATTTTTTTCATTAAGTTTCAATGATAAAAAAATAAGACCTAAAAAACCCAAACAACTCTGGAGAGGAAATTACTAGAATTAACCCTTCTTTCAAATAGTTATAGTTTGTCAGTTCAAATAATGTTTAAGGGCTATAAATTGGCAGTAAGAATTTTTTTTCAAATCAAAATCTCTAAATTTATTAACTGCCCGATTATTTATATTGTGACAAGAGCCCATGGCCATTATGAAATAAAAAAGGAATTGGTGCAATGCCTTAATTTGTTTTACTGAAAGCTTAATATTTTTTTACTTCCAAAATGCCAGATAGTTTTCTAGAATGCGGGTTTGATAGAATGCAAAGAAAACATGATTTGTTACATTTAATGTAGTGAGGTTGCCTGATTTAAAATTATTAATAACCATGGTTACATAGGAGGAGTCCACACAATTAAGATTCCCATTGTCCTTTGGTTCTTCGTTTTTGTTGTGATTGGACTGGCATTTTCAATTCTTTTGATTAGATTGATACCTTCTTTTACGATTAAGTTTATATCTATTTTTTCTTTAAAAATACAGAACTTCGAGATCAAATTATATCTGTTCAGGAGGAAAAGAAGAAATTAGCCATTGAGTTGGAAAATCTCAAGAGCAAACTTGTAGAAGTAATTGAAGAAGTATGTATCTTAGACCTGAAAGGCAAGGATTTTAGTGTTTTCAGGGTGTTTTGGGATTGCCTAAGTTAAAAATTTGCTGTTCAAAGCTAATTTCTGACATGAGAACCATGTACCAATTTTAATTTTCTTTTCTTCCCTCCTATTTCAGAAATACAAAAAGGTATAGAAAATAAAATTATAAACATTCATGTACCCACTACCTAACTTAATAAATAAAACACTACAATAGCATGGACTTGTTCTTTGTTGTTCCCTCATTTTTTCACTCTGTGAGGCAAATTTCAGGTCTTATACTTTATTGTATGAAGAAGGAAGAGCATGCTTTGTTTTCCCAATGGATGGCTGGCTCAGTGAGGAAGGACTGTAAATGATTTGTGTGTTTTCTGGGTGATCTTTAGCCAGATTTTAGCATTATTATGAATCGTTTTCGTTGAAAATGAAATGAATGAATGACTAGAATACTGTCAATTTAGGGACCTGTGCCAGTGCCAATTGGAATATGTAAATAAGGTCTGTACAAAATGTACATCCTCACTTAAATAGCTATCCCTGAAGCTTTAAAGAAGAGCTTTAATACAAGCCTTAACACAGTGAAGCCAATTTCTGCTTTAAATTGTAACTTCATGTTGAAAGTTGAACAGCAATTTGACTATCACACATTGCCATATGTCATGTTTTACAATTTTGGGTGTTTTCTCCCCTCAAAATCTCACATTTTTAGGTAAATAAAGTTAAACAAGAAAAGACTGTTTTAAATTCAGAAGTTCTTGAACAGAGAAAAGTCTTAGAAAAATGCAATAGAGGTATGTCTTTCCAGTCTTTTTTTCTTGGACACATATGTAATTTGTTTTGTTTATATATATTTTGTGTCATTTTACACCTGTGCCTAAAGAGTCTTGTAAACAAAACCTTCTCCTACATTGTGTTTTCTCTAGCAACAAGTCTCTCTCATTTTTTTTATTACTTAACTTAGAGTCTGGGGACATCTATAAGTGATTTCACTTAAGGAGCTAGGAACCCACTCATTTGGAAACTTTAAACTTACAGCTGCCCTACATATGTCCTGGAACCATGGCCATTTTTACTGTCCCCCTCAGCATTTATATATTTGATAGGTTATTTAGTAAATCTTGATCCAGAAGATATTAGACTGTCTGCATAAAACATATGAAACGTTAAATTAAGAGGATGTGGAAAAGGGAATAAAGGGAAAGTGAGAGTTTCCGATTGTTAATGTAAAGTGCCTACTTGCTCTGAGGTCTTGCACATTTCCTGCCAGTGTGTCTGAAATCTGACTCTGAACTGTCTAGCAGCCAGTACAGCAAGAGATTCGTGACACGATTGTTTAAATGAATCCCATGAAAATGAACATAATGGTCGGGAGACGCAGACCTGGTCTTCTGGTGAGAGGGAAATATCTCCGGTGGCTACTTTCAGAGATGGTTCTGTGTGATTTGGTCAACAGTGACCTTGTCATCCTTGTTGTAAAACACTGCATCAGATTTCGTGAAGGCTGTTTCGTATGTCCCCCAGTTTAGGACAAGGAAGCGGCACCAAAATGTAGTTCTGTAAAATTCCAAGGGAAGGGGGAGACTTAGTGTGCATTCTGTTCTACCTCTTCCCCTCAACCACTCTCTGTCTAGTTCAGAATCTGCAACATCATCAGGAGATCACTGAGACCAGGGCCTTCCTTATTGTTCCTGGTGGCAGCTTTCAATGTTTTGGTCATTCATCAATTGAGTAAATAAGGGACTTTGAAGTTGAGGGTAGGAGCTGCACCAGATTGTGACATTCCTTCAGGTTTTTCTTTATTTAAAGATACAAAGGTTGTAGAAGTATTTTCGGTCTTAATGCATTGTGCATGAAACAGGGTTCTGCAAGGTTCAATCACATAGATCTTGCCTTCAGAGACCCCCCCCCATCTAGGAAGAGAGAAAGATTATATAAATAAATACGTGGCTAGGACCAACCTAATTTCTTTCAGAATCTATGTCAGAAAGGCCAGGGCATGTGAAAATTCACTTTTTATTCTAGTGTTCTGGGCAGAGAAAAGAGAGTCAGTTATCTTGCCAGGGCTCCAGATAGTCATAGTGTTCTTTGTTTTCTTCATGAAATTTCTTTTTTAAATAGGCTTGAAAATAATTTCACTCTCAGGGACCTATAATTCATACTACAGATCACCGCTTATATTGCTTTACTTGAGCAAGACTATTAGTCTTTCTTCTGAGGCAGTGGATTTACAGAGTACGGAGTTAGAAATCTATGTCATTACACAGCAAACCAGTCCTTAGTCAGTTAGGATTGAAGTGCCCTGGCGGAACAGAGTGTGAAAGCAGCCATTAAGAGAGCCTTTTTAAAGATTTTATTGATATGACTCAGTTTCGGATTGAAGTGCCTCAGCAGAAGCAGATGGATAAATGTGCTGTCTACTTATGTTTTGCCTAATTTCTAATGCCGTCATCACTTCCTCTGTCCTCATTATTTAACAGAATAGGCCATTGAACGTCAAAAGTAGCAAAGAATTCATGTCGCTTTCATTTGACAGGACCTTCCTTTTGAAGGATTTTATCCTACAGTTATTCTTTAGTACAGAGCTGACTCTTTGGGCCTGAATGGATCTAAGACTATTTTGTAAACATACAGAACACTTAAAACTAACTTATATATATGTATATTCTTTTTATTCAGGTAATATACATTTTTGGTGGAAAATTTAAATTCATATAATAAAAGAAAAAAATGCCAACCTTTACAATCCAGAGATAAGTATTGTTACTATTTTAGTTTATATTCTTCCAATCTTAAAAAAACCTATATATATTAAATTTTTTTGTTAAATATATTTATAATGTATATGGAAGACAAAGACAATACCAGTATCTTACAAACATCTCTCTCTACTTGGACCCCTTTCTTGAATTTTTATCATTTTATTTTACTTAAAGTTTTGCCAAATATGTATATTTCCCTAAACAGCATGTTATTTAATTTTGCATTTCTTTGAACTTTATATAAATGGCATCATTTTGCTCATAGCCTTCTTTAACTTTTGTGTTTGTGAAATTCATCCACAGGAGTATAGCTGTGGTATGTTTATTTTTACTGCTATATTATATTCCATTCGCTGACTATACCAAAATTTGTCCAGAATCCTGTTGGGTAGACATTTGAGTTGTTTTCATTTTTTTTGCAATTCCAAGTCATGCTGCTGTGAAAATTGTTGTGCATGTCTCCTGGTACACATGCTCAAGAATTTCACTAGAATATAAGCCAAATGGAAAATTTTATTTTCAATTTCACTACATAATACCAAATTATTTATTTTAAGTATATCTATCGGTTTATAGTTCTATTAGCAGTATGTATGTTCATTGTTTTGTGTCCTCTCCAAACTTAACATGGCATACTTTTAAATTTTTACTAGTTGTCTCTTGGGTGGGTGTAAAAATGTTATTTTACTTTGCATTTTCCTGATTTCTAATGAAGATGAGCATCTTTCCACATATTTACTGGCTTTTCATATATTTTCTGTTCTGTAAAGTGGCTGTTGATATGTTTTCTCTGTAGCTTTTAAAGAACAACATGAATTCATTTTGTGCTCATTTTTGCAACTTTATTTTAAAAAGTATATCACAAATGTCTTTTCATTTACTAAAAATGCATCTGTGATGTAATTTTGGTGGCAGAATAATATTTCTTGTACTACAATTTACTGATCCTTTGATGTTAGGTCATCTAGATTATTTCACTGTTTTTGGCAGTGATGCAGAGAGCATCCTTGCAACCAAGTCTCTCAATATGCTCATGATTTATTTTTTTAGGATATATATTCCTAGAAGTAGAATCGTTGAGTCAAAGGATATGAATAGTTTTAGATTTTTGATTTCTTTCTTTTTTTTTTTTTTTTTGAGTCATGTTCTCACTCTGTAACCCAGGCTGGAGTGCAGTGGTATGATAATGGCTCACTGCAGCCTTCACCCTCAGGCTCAGGAGATACTTCTGCCTCAACCTCTTGAGTAACTGGAACTATAGGTGTGTGCCATCATGCATGCCTGACTTCTTCTTCTTGTTTATTTTTTTTGTAGAGACAAGGTCTCGCTGTGTTGCCTAGGCTGGTCTCAAACTCCTGGCAGGCTCAAGCGATTCTCCCACCTCAGCCTTCCAAAGTCCTGGAATCACAGGCCTGTGCCACCGTACCTGGCCATAGTTTTAGGTTTTTGATTCCCATTGCCAAATTGCCCTCCAAACAGGTTTTATTGCTTTATATGCCAACCAGGAATGGATTAGGGTGCCTTTATGAATAATCTTTTCAACACTGTTTTTCGTTCATATTTCTAACAATTTGTATGGCATATTTTCCTTTTCTCCTCCCTCATCTTCTCAAGTGTCCATATTAGCTGTAGAAGAGTATGAGGAAATGCAAGTAAACCTGGAGCTGGAGAAGGACCTTCGAAAGAAAGCAGAGTCATTTGCCCAAGAGGTGGGTATCTTGTAGAGACCTAGCTTTTTATTTTTGTCTTTAAAGGGACCTTGCAGATGACATATCAAAAATAATTTTTGAGGTTGAAAAGGAATTTACCGGTTTGAATTAAGGCTCAACTGGTATAACGAGGCAGATATGGGCTTGACGTCAGATGATCTGAGTTTAGGTTGTGGTCATATCCAGTTACTAGTTGTATGACCTCCAAACAGTCCTTTCTTGGGACCTCTTGGGACTTCACTATTGCCATCTGTAAAACAGGCAATGATGCAAACTTAATCGAGTGGATTTTAGAATCAAACTGTACAATTTTTTAAAAGTATTCCATAAACTATAAAATGCTATATAGAGGAGAGGAATTACATTTAGATATACCTTTAACTTGTGGTGGAAAGTCCAGCTTGGGTACAAGTTGTCTATATGTTTCAAATAACCTTAAAATCTGGGGTATATCTCCATATGCCATCTTAGGTAATAGTATCATAGTATCAGTATTTCTCTTCCGCCATAGTACTCTCATTATGTGAGTTGATTCTTCTACTGATTATAGAGCATTGCCATGTTGTACATTTATTATCCCAGCTTTTCGCCAGTGTAATGACTTTCATCTCATGTTAAAGATAAGCTCTGAACTTCTCTTGTTGCAGCTCACCTTGTTGACAGGCAATCATTGGGTATTCCGTGGCCCTGTGACTGGTTTTCAGGGGAATGAGGAGTCACCAGTTGACTGAACTCACAGTGTGGAGGTGATCTGCAATGAAATCTCCATCCTGTGTACATGTTTTGAGTTTGTGTGCATACTGTGAGTTGAGGGAAATAGCTAAGGAAATATAAAGCCATCATAGGTAGAGGTAACCAAGGCTTAGAAGGAAGACAAAGCATGGTGTTATAGGAATGACATTTGAAAATCAGATGATGGTTTTATGGGAATCTTTCTGTGCTTGAGCATAGCTGTGCTAACAATGAACTCTACCAAAGGTTTAGGCCAAGTAGATCTGATTTGAAATTTTATGATTCATTTTATTCAGAGAGTTTAATGAAAGGTGAGTTAATATTGTTCTCTTATTACTTGGAAGAAAGAAGAAAGAATTGAAGTGTGTCAGAGCCCTCTGGAAAAAGCTGCAGCAGTATAAATAATGCAACTAAATAAACAGTGGAGGGGGAGGAGGAGCAAAGATAATATGAAGACACCTTTATTGCAAAACTGAAAAGGTTGGCTGATTTTGACCTGAATGCCAGGGTCTCGTTTCAAGACATTTTCAGTTTTCTATCTGTTGTTTGCACAATGATGTTAGAATACAAAGCAGCTCGAAGAAAAACTTGAAGGCCATGCAGTAGCAGAGAAGATAGATGGAAGAAGCAAGGTTGCAGTAAGAGGATGAAAATGAATGATATACTCTGCCGTTCACCTGGTCGTAAGCCTTGGTGGTTGGTGGAAACAATAATGTTGACATGTTAACCCAGAATGAAAAGGTAAAAGTTTGAGAAGAGAGAGCAATAGCAGCGGTGCTTATATTACTGGTAGTATAAATATTTGCAGTGGTTCTCAATAACTTTACAATGTCTAGATTCAACATACACAATAATGAGAAGAAACATTTTTTTAAGTAGCACTAGGCTGAAACCAATATATTTTCCTTTTTACATGGTTTACAGATGGACAGATTTTCAACAGATAACAACTGCTAAAAGGTACACAACTTAGTTTAACAACAAGGTCCCACTCTTGCATTTTGTTCCTTAGTGCATGCAGCAAGCATCTTACTGTACCAGACGCCATGCTGACATTGATTTGGAATCTAATGGTGAAGTAATTAGTGAACCCTGCCCTCTTGGAGCTTACAGTCTAGAGCCTTAGAAATCAATTTTAAAGTTAATTTATTTTATATGTTTAATTATAAAAATAATATATGTACCTTGTTAAAAAATATAATTCTCAAATGTGTAAAGTGAAAATGGAAAGTCTCTCTCCCACTCCTATTCCCAGCAATTGATTTTAAAAACAAAACCAAAATCATGATCCTTCTCAACAAGAAGAAAAGAGTTGTCTTCATCAGTATATTAAATTTTTAGATGTCTTCAACACATTTAAATTTTTAAATGAAGGACTTTCTTGTACTTTTGGAATTTATTTTTCTTTCTTTTCAGGGTAATTTTCCTTTTCTTTTTAAAGTTACAGATACTTTGTTCAACATGTATTCCCCATATACTGTGTTACCTCCAAAACAACTTAGATAATATTTGAGTGTTATTTTAGAAAGATGAATAATATATTGACATAAGATTTTCTCTGAAATTCTTATACCTGTGTTAGTTGTCTAAGAGACCAACTTCACAACTCTCACTAGTGAATTCTTACCATAACAAATTCATTAGTGTCTGATAACTGAATTTTTTTAAACTACTTTTTTAGAAATGAAGTAATGTAGACTTTTTTAAATCTTAGGATCTTAAAGTTTAGAAAAACTAGTCTAATGAGACTTTTTTTCAAGCTACCATTGTTATTTAAAGGAAATCCTTTTCTATCTGTGTTTTTCTCTTATAATATTACTGTTTAGGAATTGTTACAGGGATTCTGAAAAAGAAGTTCACCTTATCAACATCCCTAAGATTTGGTGTCATACATCTTTACTGTTATCTTTCCAAGATAACAAGACTGAGAAAATTTATAATGTGTGAGGTTAAGTTTTGTTGGGTACTGCATGGAAAAGATGCATCGCCTCTCTTCCTAAGAAAGAACCAAAGCACAGAGAAGCAGTTCCATGAGAGTAATAAGGCCCCCTTTGCATGGATAGCTAGTATGTGCTTGCTTTGTTTTACTGCTGAGTTCATGGCCCTTATTCTGGTCCCCCTTCTGTCTGATTCCTTTCTGCCCAGCTCTTGGCTTCCGAGCACACTTTGCGAAAGACCTCACCTGTCAGAAAATGGAGAACCTTGTGTCAGCCACTGTGTGCAGGCCTTACATGCTGACTTTCTGAAGTTTTAAGAGGAAAAACGTATTTAAAAGAAATTACTGTGATAATAATGGTAACCCCAAATAATTCATTTCAATTAGTCCATTGGTGGAAAGTTTAGGATACTGTGATGCAATACTGATTACTCTTCCCTCACCTCATCTCACCTTCTCCAGCCTAGCTCACTTGCGCATATGCTCACTCACTCACTCACTCACTCACTGACTCCTGCAGTCTCTGTACCTCTCACTTGTACACAGAGATAAGGAATCGAGTGGAAGAATAATGTAGGTTTCATGTACGTAGAATTGTTTATTTACCTGTCTGACATTGTAATGTATTTTAGTTCTGCAGAAGAACACTGTTGTAGTTTAGTGGACTTTTCATAAAACCCTGCACAGGCAAAGAATGAAAGCCTCTGACCATTTTTTTTTCTCTGATAGGAAGGCATACTGTGAAGAAAATTTTCGCATTTTAGAATAGTGTATATCCACGACTTGGATTTGGAAATCTATACTAAACAAGGAATAAGCTTAAGGACTGTATAAATCATTAAAGTTATAGCTTTTCTACATAGAAGTTGATAGAAAATATATATATATATTTTTGAGATGGAGTCTCACTCCATCGCCCAGGCTGGAGTGCAGTAGCATGCTTATGGACACCCCAGTGTCAACCTGCTGGACCCCAGCGATCCTTCTGCCTCAGCCTTCCAAGTAGCCGGAACTACACACTACCACGCCCGGCTAATTTTTTATTTATTGTAGAGATGAGCTCTCGCCAAGTTGCCTGGGCTGGTCTTGAACCTGCAGGCTCAGGCAATCTACTTGCCTCGGCCTCCCAGAGTGCTGGGATTCCAGGCTGAGCCGCCGAGCCCAGCCAGAAAATATTTTTATCCTGCATTTTATTGTTTGCTTTTTCAGTTATGTGATGGATGAGGTTGTTGAACAAACTAATAGATGGGCTATAACAAATTATTTTACAGTACAAATATTGTAGTATTCAATATAAATTTTTAAATACTGTTACGAATCTAAAAACTTGAAGCGCTACTATAAAAATGGATCTGATTTTATAAAATTTCATGCCTGGAGTTACCTGTTGGTCAACCTGGGTAGAGTGATAAGAAAAACAACAGATGAATTTAAAAAAAGGTTATTTTTAATAATGTGAAGTTGTATTAGTTGAATAATACATATAAATTGCTTAATAAAGTACTTAACAAATATTAGCATACTGTCTCCCTTATTCTCTTTAACTGCTTTCAGTGGGTAAAGACTGATTGGGTTGAAACAAAGCATTAGGTCTAGTAAATAGCAGAGGAGATTAGCCAGATGGTTAAAAGTGTGGGCATATAAATCAGACAGATAGGGGTTTAAATCCTGGTCTTTGCACTAAATACATTTTCTTGGTCAAGTTGTCTGACTTCTCTGAACCTCAGTTACTTTATCAATAAAAGGGGATGATAACAGTATCTACTGGACATTGTTGTTTTAAGAATTAGATGATGTAATGAACTCAAAATGATTACCACTGTATCTATCACATAATGTTTAGTAAATGTTACCTATTCATAGTAGAAGCACTTAACTCAGAGGATTAATAGAAGGATTAAAATAATGCATAGAAAATAGTAGAGTACACAAGGTAAGTTAGCTACTACCATTAGTATTAATATATTTTAAAGCAATAATAAAATATTAAAAACTGAAGTATAAGACTAAATTATTATATATATACTTTGTTGTGGCAGGAGTAAAGGTACTAAAGATTGTATAAAGGTAGGAATGAAATTGTAGCAATCTCTACTTCTAACACTGTTAGACATTTTAGAAATTGCCTTTAGCGTTTTAATAAACTCCACATTCCTTTTACTGAAGTTGCAATTGAGGAGATATGTGGGATTGATCAGTATATACATTTTTGCAATAAACTTTTGCAGATGTTCATTGAACAAAACAAGCTAAAGAGACAAAGCCACCTTCTTCTACAGAGCTCTGTGCCCGACCAGCAACTCTTGAAAGCTTTAGATGAAAATGCAAAGCTTACCCAGCTCCTTGAAGAAGAGAGAATTCAGCATCAGCAAAAGGTAACAGGTTTTCTTCTAGTCTTAGACACACACACACACATTTAGAATGAGAGGAGTCAGTTCAGTCATTTTTGGTTCTATATTTTGCCTTAGTTACTAAGTCCTTCCAGTCACCTTTTAGAAAAAACAAAACAAAACTGCCAAATGAGCTTAATTTATTGTCAGACTGAAATTTATAGCATGTTATTGTAGAATTTATAATGATATTTAAACTGTCCAAAGGGTCAGAGGAAGCAAGGGAAAGTGATATAACTCAAAAATATCTTGGATAATGCAAAGCCTAGAAATCTGTGTTTTGGAGACATTGTGTTTTTTGGCTACTGCACACACAAAGAAGGTATATTAGTCTCAAAGAATTTATTGGCGAGCATGGCTTTTATTCACAGAAGGTGGAAAAGTCCATGTTAGTAGTAATTGTTTGCTTAGAGAACATTTTTGATTTTGTAAAGTTGCACAAATGTATATGTTTAAAGACTTCCTAAGTGGTTATTTCAATTTGTATGAGTGCAGCTGTTCCAGCTGACACAGCCTACCTCTGTGTGCCAGGCAGAAAGGACAGTCATTGTGGCAGGTGAGAGGAGGAGGTGGGAGAGAAGAGATGAAGAGGTGGAACAAAGACTTTCAAGTTAAAGAAACCAATTAAGGAAAATTACATCAATGTTTGTACTACATACAGTATACCTAGATTGGAAAGGAAAGGCTGTTAGCTGCTATGTGTTATCATCTGTCGAAGTCTCTGTGAGCAACAATATTGAATTTAATCCTTGGAAGTTCTAAAGTTTTTACAGAGCTGAGATTGAGTTGATTTTGCTTTTTCCTCAATAAGAAATGTTGGTATATGTCTAGGGTGTCTCTGGATGGATAGGTAGTAACAGTTCCCTGGGTAAAAGGACTGGGGAATAGGGTGGGAGGGAAAGATTTCTTTTTCTTTTTTTCTTTTTTTTTCTAGTATATGCTAGAATTTAACTTTTGATTCTAAAAATTCCAATTACTTACAGTTAAATAATTTAGTAAATAATTCATGCCTACAACTGACTGAACTGAACTGAGGTACAGGACTATCTTTTTGGAGTAGGGATAGAGCTACTGAAGATTAGATGAAAGTTGAGTGAAGTTATAGCAATCACTACTACTAAAACTCTTATGCCCTATATACAGTTATTCTGGATCATCTTTCACGTAGAGATGCTTCTTATTTATGATGGGTTTACATCCTGATAAAACTGTGTAAGCTGAAAAGATCACAAATTGGAAATACATTTAATATACCTGCCTACCTACTGAACATTATAGTTTACCCTATCCTTCCTATCACATGCTCAGAACACTTTCATTAACCTACTGTTGTGGAAAATCATCTGGCAACAGTCAACTGTAGAGTGCTGGTTGTTTACCCTCATGATTGTGTGACAGACTGAGAACTGTGGCTGGCTGCCTCTGCCCAGCATTGTGGAGAGGATCTCACCACATATTGCTAGCCCATAAAAAAATCAAAATTAGAAATTTGAAGTATGATCTATTGAATGTGTATTGTTTTAGCACCATTGTAAAGTCAAAAATTTTTAAATCAAACCATCATAACTCGGGGGCCATCTTTATGTGCCTTAAAATATTTCTTACCTGTCTGTAAGTTCCTTTGCAGATGCAGCAGTCTTTTAAGCACAATGTATGACTCTTGCAATTATAAAAATAGCATATGCTCCATACAATACATGTATTTCTTTTGCGATAGGATCTCATTCTGTCATCCCGGATGGAGTGTAATCATAGCTCACTACAGCCTTGAACTCCTAGGTTTAAGTGATCCTCTTGCATTAGCTTTCCAAGAAACTAGGACCGTAGGTATGCACCACCGTACCTGGCTTATTTATTTATTATTTTTGTAGTGACAGATCTCACTATATTGCCCAGATTGGTCTCAAATTCCTGACCTCAAGCGATCCTCCTGCCTTAGTCTCCCAAAGTGTTGGGATTGCAGGTGTGAGCCATTGAGCCAGGCCAATACAATTTTAAAATATAGAAAAAGTTAAAGAAAATTAAGATTAACCAATAATTCCATATTTTGGTACATATCTGCACTTTATATAAATATATAATTTTATGAATATATATTATTTGTTTAAATGGAATCATACGGCGAATACTATCCTATAACCTGATTTTTTTCTATTGGTTATGTGTCTTCTCATGTCAGTATATAGTAAATTATGTGATTTTAAATGGTTACTTAGTAGTTCATTTCATGAACATGCCATAATTTATTAAATCAATAATATTTGTGGACATTTAGGTTATTTCTAGCTTTTTACTGTTATAAAAACACTTTAGTGAAAATATTTGCACACTTGAGTATTTTTAAAAACAAACTCCTAAAAGTGGTATTACTAAATCAGGGTTCATTTCTTCTTCTTTCTGGGGAGAAGGTTTTTGATGTTTATTACCAAATTGTGCCCTTCCACCCAGAGCTCTTTTTAAATATTGTCTGAATTTCTCTTTTGAAAATGGGTACAAAAGTATTCATCTGTTTTAAGTGAATTTCTGGGTATTATTTTACTTTTATGACTCATGATTAAAAATTAGGGTCTCTGGTACACAGTTTTCCTATAAATTTATATTAAATAAAGGAACTGATCATGATTTTGAGTGTTACCTACATTCAGAATTTATGTGTTTTTTAAGATGGTTTAGAATCTCTTTGCTATGAAGTACAAAGTCATAGGGAAATATTTACTTTATCTTTTCTTTGACAAAGGAAAAACTATCACCCCAAAAAGTTTTTTTTTTTTTTTTATAACTTATAGGTCAAAGAATTAGAAGAAAAACTAGAAAATGAAATGCTCCACAAAGAGATACACAACCTCAAACAGCAATTGGAACTTCTAGAAGAAGATAAAAAGGAATTGGAATTGAAATACCAGAATTCTGAGGAGAAAGCCAGAAATTTAAAGCACTCTGGTAAAAGCATTAAATAGGCTACTCTGTCTTATTATTAATCTGTGAATGACTCATGCCTAGTACAAAACCTTGCCTGTAGGTAGTATGGGACATTTACTGACTGCTATAGAAAAACACCAATATTTGTTTTTAAATTCCTTCATTTCTAACCATTGCAATTTGATGGAATAACTGCTGTAATCAAATGACTGACACATAGTTAGACTTCTTTTTTGGACTTAGAGCTTTTGTAAACATCACATACAGAATTAAGACACAAGATGCCATTAACATGGCAAGAGCAAAAATTCAGCATTTTGGGGGGCTTCAGATATGTGCTCATTAAGTACTTTCTTTATTATTTTGTTCATTTTAGAGTACGTTTTTAAAAAGAATTAAAGTTCTTAAAAAACGACCTTCATCTTCAGTGTTCATATACTACCTTCCTCTTTGGTGTCTAATTATACACGTGGAATAGTACTTTCTGTGTCACACCTAACAATGAAATGGGCAACAATATATATATTAAATGGAAAAACTTTTAAAACACCACGGGATACTTAAATCAAAGATTTATTCATTCAATTCTAGAAGGCTTAACAGGAATGTGTGAGTTAGATTACTACGCAGGTATAAGTCTCAGTTGGGAAGTGGGTAATTTAAGGAGGCAGGTACATTCCCTTTATAATAGCTTCAATATTCACTTCAGATATTTTTGGTTAATTTTATACTAGAATTTTGAAATCTGTGCAGAAGAACCATGTAGGCTTTTTTCCTTTTAAACACATTCAATACTTTCTAATACACAATGAAAATTGATTATAATTTATTTTTTAAAAATTGATCTAAAATTAAGAAATACTCCATTCTTTTTAGTGAATATCAGAGCAGCCTGAGGCCAAAGCTTATTCTTTATTATGAATAAAGGACATAGACACTAGAGATACTTAAGATTCAATTTTGAATACATTTTTATTTAGTATCTGCTATGTGTGTACAATCCTGCCCTAGAGCACATTAAGAAATACAAAAGAAAAGAGACCACACCTTTTGTCTTAAGAAAACTCAAATTCCCTTTGGAGAGTGGACACATGCATATGAAATAGTTAGAGGATTGTTGGTGTTGGAGAGCATAGTCCACACTCCTACTTAAGTCTTGAGGGTAAACACAAATGGGCAGATCACCAGGGGTACAGTTATGGAAATGGAATGGCTGTGGACAGGGTAATACTTCTGAATGCAGACAGGATCCAGTACCTGTACCCATTAGCCCATATTATAGGTGTTAGCATCTGTGATATAAATTTAAATTGAGCTCCTTGAAGTCACAAACTGTCTCCAACAGCAGCATGCGTAGGCTCTTTCACATTGTTGGTGCTTAGTAAATGTCTGCCTCATTAATGACTTGAATGAATAAGTTTTATTTCCAGAATACTTTTCAAAAGAGCAAAAAGTTTCTGAGTTACAGACATTTATGAATCTGAGTCTAGTTAAAATCAAAGACTAAGTATTTGCAGTTTTCAAAGGGAATTAAGCGGAGGAGAGAAGCATGCAACTATTAAAATTCATTACTAAATGTCATCTTTAAAATTAAGTCTTGATCTGTACACTTTTACAGTCTAGTATTAACAATTTCTTAGTGTTTGAGTAGTGTACTTCCTTGTTAACAACTATTTCTTCAGCCTACTCGCCCTCTTTTCTTTCCACCCGTCAGCCATTGTTTTGAAATTTTTTTCAAAGTTATGTATATGGCAAAAAGATAAGAATGTTTTCTTTTTAACAGAAGGAAGGCCTCTCTTGTATTAGCGATAGATACTAGACACATTAAAGTTTTAAAAGTTTTGAGGTTTTATATTCTAATTTTGCCTTATTAAAAATAACTTGCTTTTGAGAGAGCTTTTTTTTTTTCTTTCACGTGTATAAATGATGTTTAGTTGCTTATTTCAGCTCTCTTCTGAATGCTTGCTATCTGTGCAGTTGATGAACTCCAGAAACGAGTGAACCAGTCTGAGAATTCAGTGCCTCCACCACCTCCTCCTCCACCACCACTCCCCCCACCACCTCCCAATCCTATCCGGTAAGCACATCCTGAAAGACTGCTCTGCGTAAGACCTTATTCCTTGTCAGATTGTGCCATTAGAGAAGCTGTAAGAAGTATGAAAGATATCAGCTGGTGTTTCTCTTGGAAAATTTTCCAAAGGCCTTCCCTTCTTGTAATAGATGTAGTGGGAGTCTTAAAAACATCTGGCCAAGGAGTTCTTGTGAACTTCAAGTGTTCCTCTGTTGTAGATGTTGAGGTTTCATGTAGATGTTCCAGACCTCAGGAGCTAAACATGGTTTTTTTAATCTTAGATACTCTAGTTTTAAAATTCATTTTAGCCGGGCTCGGTGGCTCAGCCTGTAATCCCGCGCCTTTGGGGGGCTGAGGTGAGTGGATTGCCTGAGTTTGTGGGTTCGAGACCCGCCTGGGCAGGTGAGACCTCATCTCTACAATAAAATAAAAAAATTAGCCGGGCATGGTAGCGCGCGCCTGTAGTTCCAGCTACTTGGAAGGCTGAGGCAGAAAGATCGCTGGAGCCCAGCAGGTCGAGGCTGCGGTGGCCGGGAGCGGCCACTGCACTCCAGTCTGGCCAACAGAGTGAGACTTCAACTCAAAATAAAAAATAAAAAAAGTAAAAATAAAATAAAATTCATTTTAACTGTAAGACCAAGAAAATTTGAGCATCTCAGGAATGTGTTTATTTTTTTTTCCTCTCACTAATTTGAATTTGAGAAGCTATGGTTTGTTCAATTATTTTTTAAAATAAAAGTACTAAACTAAAACTTAAGCATACTAATTGTTATAAACTAGTAATTAATCTAGAAGTACTGATTATTTTTATCCCTATCCTCATGTTTAAACACTTAATAATGCTGTGACAGGAAACTTCCATAAGAAAAACAAATTATGTTTAAATTCTTGGAACAGGAAATCATATATGCAGACAGGAATTCACTTTTTCTAAAGCCTAAAGTGACTTGATGGTATTGAGTACCTGACTGGAGCACATTACACACTAGGAGATCTGGAGTTAAATTTTGCCTTCTTTGTAGGTCTACATGCCACCATCCAGAATTATATAAGACAACTTCTTTGCCATGGTGTCAACTTAGCTTCTCATGATGTTAGCTGCTTTTGTGTAACTTATTCTTGAATAAATGGCATTTAAAAACTTTTGCTAGTTTTTTTTTTTTTTTTTTAACCTTTCATTAACTCATGTGATTTGTTTAATCCTTTCACACAGAGAGGCCATTTATTCATACTTTGCACCTTTACTGAGCCATCTGAATAGAATGTGTAGCATGTTCCTCCCACAGGACTATGAAAATGGGACTTTGTCTTTTAAAAAGATTCTCATTAGTTTTCCTTACTGAGTAGGATATGACATAATCTACTTTAAGCCACTGAAGTAGTTAAGGCAAAATAATTTTCACACGTGATCGATCTAAGAGTCAATTGAAAGAATTTCAGGTATTTAAAATTCTTCCTCTCCTGGGTAGTTAAATCTGTAGGAAATATTCTGGATCTGACATTTACAATTGGAAATTCATCACTTTGATCTTTCTCTAAGTTCTAGAATTTTGAGCTGACAAGAAAGGTCACTTCTGTCTATGAGAAGGAAGAACTATTAAAAAACAATTATAATCTTGCTGTTGGCCTTTAATTTTTTTATTCTTAGAAATGTTGAGAGGCCCTAAAATTAAAAGTAAAGTATAGCCTAAATAGAATTTTTTCCCAAAGAGTACTTTACAGTTCTTCTGAGACATGAATGTAGGATTCAGGAATATGTATGTCTCAATTGGGAACTCTTTCATAAAGGTCTTTAAAGAAAATTTTTATTGAATAATATGAGTGATTTTAATTTTAAGATGAATTTAAATAGTGTAAGACTTAATTTTTCAGAAAAAAGAGTTTGTTTTTGTTTTTGTTTTTTTTTTGGTGAAGAGTACTTTCTTATAAAATAAATATATTTGTATGTATATTGAGTTTCAGAGGATTTTGAATCCACTAGTCAAGGTTTTCCAACGTTGTTCTTGAGTTATTTGTTTAACCTTGATATAGATCATGGACAGAAATGAAAGTGGGAGAGAATAAAAGACGAGAATCTATAGTTTCTTTAATGCCCTTATTGCTTTTCCTACCTCTTCTCACTCATTGGACCTGGAGAATAGGTAGGAGAGAAGGAAAAGGAAGAAGCCATACCTTGGTCATTTTGTACTAGTGGTAATGAAAGTAGGACAGGTCCTGGGAAGGTATGATTCATGGGGAGAGAGATAGGAGTATTTGTTAGGATTCCCAAGAGAAACAGAGCCAATAGGATATGTATGTATATGGATATAGGTCTAGATATAAATATAGATTTATTTTAAGGAATTGGCCCATGTGGTCAAGGAAGCTGACAAGTTCCAAGATCTATAGGGTGAGTCAGCAAGCTGGAGACTCACAAGAGCTGGTGTTGTAGTTCCAGTCCGAGTCCAAAGGCCCGAGGACTAGGAAAACCTGTAGTTCCATTCCAAAGGCTGGCAGGCTCAAGATTCCGGAAGTGGCAACATTTCAGTTCAAGTTCAAAAGCAAGAAAAAGCCAGTATTCCATTTTAAAGGCAGTCAGACAGGAGGAATTCTCTTTTATTGGAGGAGGATCAGCCTTTTAGTTCTTTTCAGGCCTTCAACTGGTTGGAGGCCTTCACATGGGGTGGGGAGAGGGCATTTGCCTCCCTCAGTCTACTTATTTAAATGTTAATGTCATACAAAATGCACTTGTGGAAGCACCCAGAAGAATGTTCGATCAAATATCTGGGCACTTCATGGCCCCAGCAAGTTGACACACAAAATAACCATCACAGTGGGCAGGAAGAACACAACTTAAAGGACTTTAAGGTGAAAATTCTACACTGAAATGTTCCATCTTGTGGTGACAAATGCTTGAATTTTTATCCATTCAGTTGAAATGGTGGTGAATTGGGAAGTGATAGCCAGAGGTTTAGATTCGGGGTCCCAAATGTCTTGTCCTGTTCCCATCTGTCCGGTGACTCCCACCCTGTCTATTTCTCTATAGTCTGTGCCATGTCTTGACTGTTGGTTCTGTTTTAATACTACAGATGATTTTCCTCTGGGCACCATATGTTTCCAACTGATGCTTCAATTCAGAACATTTTAAACTAACAATTTCGGTCATCTAGTTAGCTGGCTTATACTGATGAATGTAAATAGAGTTAGAGGCGTGGTTGTTACAGAGTGTGGTGAAAGTAAGGAGAGGCTTCTGATTTGTGAGAACCTTCCTTAAGCCCACCCTACTAGGGAGTGGTAGCAGGCATTTTAAATACTCCTGGTGTTTAGTTGACAGAATGAAAAAATAAACAAAACGTACATTATTTCATTCTTTACAGCTTCTAGAATACCCATTTTAAAGTTCTGTATAAATTAATAATATAACCAAAGTAGACGTGAAAGGAAAAAAAAAAAAAAATCTAAAAATTATAGTGATTAAGAAACATTGGGTTGTTATATCTTCTGACCAAGTTTTAATTTGTATATCCATTTGTCCCTTTTTCTAAGGACAATATTATGCTATTTCTATCCTCCAAGTATTTGCTTTCCATTGATAGCTTTCTTGGGATTGTGTTTTGTCAGATACGGTTTACCACAATGTGGACATTTATAATGTAGTTGAAAGAATTTAAAAATTCTTTATTCATTTGTTTGTACATTTTTGTTATGGGGAAATGATAACATATATGCATAAATGTACAAAACTTATATACAGCTTTAAGATAATATAAAACTCCATGTAATCACCCTCCAAATCAAAAAATGGAAAAATACTGACACCCTAGAATCTTTTCCTCTCATTCTCTCCCAAACATAACCACCTTCCTCCCTAATCACTATCCTGACTTTTATGGTATTCATTTCCTTACATATTTTGAGGAAAAATTTTCCTGCCTATATATGTATCCTTAAACTACTATGAATATCTATATGGCTGGGGTTTGAACTATATATGATTGGAATTTTACTGTATCAATGTGTCTTGCTCTTTTTACTCTATGTTATTTTGTAGGATTCATCCATGTTTTGTATGGCTGACATTGGGTAGCTGAAATTCATTCATATTCATTGATGTGTAATCCACTTGATGAATGTCTCAAAATGGACTCATCCATTATTTGAGTTATCACCAGTTCTGGGAAATTATGGAAATTCTCATAAACATTCTTCATGGTGCACACATGCCTACATTTCTGTAAGACCTATAGTGGTAAAGTCACTGGCTCGTAGGATATGTGTATCTTCAGCGCTAGTGAATAATTACTAACAGTTTTCTAGGGTGGAAATTACTGTCAATTTCTATACCCTCTTCAGTTTGAGAATTTCTGTTATTCCACAAACCCATCAACATTTCATGTTATCAGGCTTAAAATGTTTTGCTTATTTGATGAATGAGTGATACCTCAGTCTGGATTTAATTTGTGTTTACCTAATTACTAGTGAAGTCAAGCACCTTTTTTGTATGTGTCTTAGAAATCTGGACATCGTTTTTGGAATTTCGAGGTTTTTGTCCATTTTTGTATCGGGTTGTGTGCTTTTTCTCAGTGATTTGTAGAATTTCTTTATATATTCTGTAAATTTTCATTTTATTCTTCATAGTATCTTACAGTATATGGAGGTTGTAAAATTTTAAGGTAGTCAATTTTTCTTTTTTTGAGTTGGAGTCTCACTCTGTCACCCAGACTGGAATGCAGTGGCCACTCCCGGCCACTGCAGCCTCGACCTGCTGGGCTCTGGCAATCCTTCTGCCTCAGCCTTCCAAGTAGCTGGAACTACAGGCGCATGCTACCATGCCCGGCTAGTTTTTGATTTATTGTGGAGATGAGGTCTCGCCAAGTTGCCCAGGCGGGTCTCGAACCTGCAGGCTCAGGCAATCCACTCACCTCAGCCTCCCAAAGGCACGGGATTACAGGCTGAGCCACCGAGCCCGGCTAAGGTGGTCAAAGTTATCATAATTTGATTTTATAGAGATTTTTTTAAATGGACCAGAAAGATTGTAGTCTAAATATATTTTATCCCTAAGCATTTGTCCATATCATGCAGATTTAGATGTTTTTATGCCCATGTTTCACAAGTGGGTATTTACTGATAACATACAATACTGTTTTATATGAAACATTCCTTAATTGTTACAGCCTTTCCTCTCCCTCAGACATATTATATGGATAGCTGTTTGGATTTTATATATGGGTGGCAAAATGTTTTCTGTATCTATTTCCTTTATAAATATGTGTGCACTGTATTAGTAAGTAAAGCATTCCCCTCTCTCCAGTAATTAGTTTGGTTTTACACAGAAAAGGATGAAACATGTTTCGCTTTTGTAAAGTAATGAAAAGTTAATATTATTAAAAATTGAAAATAAGTTACTTCAATTCTGGTTATCCTTTCATATACCTACATAAGATTTGGAGTTTTACTGACTTTTTAGAATCTATACATTTTATTTGTTGGATCATAAGGCATCCAGTCATCTCCTGTTATCTTTTTTCTTTCTCCCAAAGGTCTCTCATGTCCATGATTCGGAAGCGATCCCACCCTAGTGGCAGTGGTGCTAAGAAAGAAAAGGCAACTCAACCAGAAACAAGTATGTACTACTTTCATTGGTTTACTTTAAGCGGTTGATGGTATACAGTTTTTTGACAGTTTGCATATTTGCTCATTTCTTTGACTATGAGCATATTGTTGGAAGAGAAGTGTGAAGATCTTGCAACTATAAGAATGAAAATTGCCATCGTTACTCTCCTATAGTTTATTGTCTCAAAGAGATAAACATGTACACAAGCCACTGTAATGAGTGATTTACTGGGAAATATGTTTTCACTGGGAAATATGTTTTTGCTAAGGGACAAGGTACTTTGGGGTATAAAGGAAAGAGAGGGAGTAATTTGGAGAAAGACATCTTAGAATTGATAGCAAGTGAGCTGGCACTTTATCAACTACTTACTATGCACTACTCCTGTATTGTGTACTGGAAATACAAGATATAGAAGTTACATTCTAGTGTAAGGAGACATGAAGTAAACAAGTGACTATTCAAGTAAGTACGTACTATTTAACTACAATTAAAGAGAAATACGAGGTGCTATAATATCCTGGTAATGTACTGCTGGTGTCAGAAAGTGATGTTCATGCTGAGTAGTTGTGCATTTGGAATGTTGGGTGGGTGTATTTAGGGTAAAGCCAATTCAGATGGAGGAGCAGCAGATTCAAAGGTCCAAAGCAGGGAAGCAGCCTGGCATAGTAGGAAACTGAAAGTAAGCTGATGTGGCTAAGAACATGGAATGCAAGAGAGCCAGATTCTGGAGATTAAGGTCGAAGTTCTGGAATTTCTCCTAAGAGCAACAGACACTTGATGTAGGGGTAAAACATGATAAGATTTGTCTTAAAAAAAGAAAATCACTGTGAGAGAACTGACTGTAAAGGAATGAGAGTGAATGAGGGAAGACTATTACAGTCATTCCGATGAATGTGAACAGTGACTTGGATGAGGATGGTAGCAGTGGGCGAAGAGAGACAGGATGAATTCAGGACTATTCAGAGAGGTAAAATCCGCAGTACTTTGTGGTTCATTGGAGTTGGAGCTGTAGAGGACAATGAAGAGATGGCAGTGGAGGGAGAGGGCCTTCCCATTGAGCAGAGGCCCTGGGTGGTGGATGCAGATTCAAGCCGGTTCATAAGCCATCAGCAGTTTGGCGTACAGCCAGAGTGAGCATGAAGACCTGAAACTCTGGGGCCAGATCTTGGTCCTTCGTGCCTGTGTTCTAGTTCCATAGCCTCCATGCAGTGTCCAGGCAGATGGTTTGTGTGTTCCAGGCTCTTCCTTCTCCTCTTTCCTCTGTTAGTATTAACAACCCAAGTGAGTAACTCATTATCATGTGTTGTGATAGCATTTTGCTTTAAGTTATATTACTTTAAGGATTTGTTCCACCCTCAGCCTCCCTTCCGGGCTCTGGTGTTTGTTATTGCCACCTGTCTCTCCCTGAGCAGATTGCAAGTTCTTTTTTTTTTTTTTTTTATAG